TTTTTTTTTTTTAAAGATTTTATTTATTTATTCGAGAGAGAGCACATGAGGGGGGGAGAGGCAGAGGGAGAAGCAGGCTCCCCACTGAGCAGGGAGCCCAATGTGGGGCTTGATCCCAGGACCCTGGGATCATGACCTGAGCTGAAGGCAGACGCTTAACTAACTGAGCCATCCAGGCGCCCCTTTACTCACACTTATTAGACTCCCTTCATATAATAAAAGAATTAGATGATCGTCTATCAAATATCGGCTTCTTACTGCCTTTTGACAATACTAAGTGGAACCTGATTTCCACCCCATGAAAGAGCACTGCAGCTCTTTATGTTTCTATTAACCCAAAGACCAGTTTTTTTTCAAGAGAAAACTTTCCAGTTTGGGGGCTAAGTGGTGGTGACAATGAAGTTGAAATTTTAAGAAAGAATTACAAGTTTTATTCACTAGAGAGTCCAGTTTTCCCAATTTATAATAATTTGCCTTTTAATTATTGGGACTGTTATTTTGAATATTCTCTAAAGCCAGGTGACCATTAAAATCCTGATTAACTCATTCAGGGTCATATAACCCATTAACATAATGTTGCATATTTAGAAAATATAACTATTTCAGACCTGTATAAAATTTACTTGCACTTGCAGAGTTTACATGATCTGTACATAAATCATGCAATACATTTATATTAGTAACATAACCTATTAAACATTTGTCTACAGCCTAAATTTCTCTGAGCTCTGGAACTACATTTCCGAGCATTCGTCACCATTTGAATGCCTCAGTTATACCTGAAATTCAGTGGGTCCAAACCATACTCGGACCTTTCTGTCAATCCTGGATTTCTTTTGGCCAGCCCTCTCTCAGAATACCAGAAACCCAGGAGGCTTCCTCAACCCTGCCTTCTCCTCCCCCGTCACCTGCCCCCCCATTCCTCCATATCCTGTTACAACTGTCAAGACTGGATGCAGAATTTCCTGCCACCTCTCTAATCCATCATTTCTTGCTTCCTGATTGGGCCTCCCTCACCTTCTTTATTTCCCCATTTTGGTTCTCCTCATGACTGTCAAAGTATCCTTTTAAACACACAAATCTGGTTAGACCACACTCCTTTATGGCTTCTTACGCTTATGATAAAAAATCGAGTTGCTAAACATGGCTGACAAGGCCCTTTGGGGACTGGCCTCTGCCTCTCTCTGACCCATCATGCCGCTCTCATCATGATGGCCAGCACTAATTCCTTGATCATGTCAGGCCTGACACCCAAGCACCTGGTTAACCCCCACTCATCCTTCAGACCTCAGCTCAAACCCACTTGATCAGGGATACCTCTGACCTCCAAATCCAGTGAGTTCCTCTCGCCATGTATCTTCCTCCATCTTTATTCTTTTTTGATTGACCATCTTTTCCTCTGGACTGAATTTCAGGTCTCACTTTTCTTTAGCTTTAAGATTGCTTTCTGATCATTGCCAGGAACTTTTTCTTCTAAACTGTGCTGTAATACTTACCCAAGTGTCCTGTGCTTCCTTCAGGGAGTATTATCATTAAGATGGGGGCTAAAATTTGGTCTTCTGTCTTCTTGGAAAAGGAAACTGGTCAGTCTTGTGGGTCACAGATTATTGGGTAAGCTTCTCATCTTACACTATCATGCTTACCTTTAAAAAATACTTTTTCTGGCAACCTATGTTGCCAGTTGAACAATGCTTCTCTCAGGCACAAGTTTTTGGTCCTAGTACTTACAATGCAGGCATTCCTTACATGAATCCAAGTGAAAAATGAAGTGGCTCTTTGCTGAAGCAATTCCAAGCATTATCCCAGTTTCAGAACAAGCCCATCTGTCTGTAGATTCTTGAGAGCCTGTTGGTCATTGACTTGAGAATCATATGTAGGTATGCCATGGTCTTGAGATGCAAATAACTGTGGGTAAGTGTATTCTTGATCTTTCCTAAATGCTGGATCACACAATACAGAAAATGCATGAACCCTTTTGCCCTTTGTATCTGTTTTGTGTTGGATTTAACCATCACGTACATGACTGAACTCAGCTGAAGACAGACATGGGCTGAGCCATTGGGCAGGGAATTTAACTTCCAGGGGAGAAAACTGATGTACTTTGACATGATGACCCTCTGACATGAGGGTCCAGAACATAACATTGTAATCTGCTTTAAAACAAGAGAATGTGAGGGAAGAATTTGACTTAGCATATGGTTTCTTTCCATTTTCCTTCTTGACATTTATTTCATATTAACACTTTTAGCCTCCACCTTAAAATCTAGAAGAAGAAATAATACTTCCTAATATGTCAAAGTTCTTCCTTTCACTTACATTTTGGTATTTTTTCCTAAATATACTGATTTTTTTAATTTGTATTTTAATTACATGAGGTTTTGTTTGTTTGTTTTGCTTTTAGGTATTTTGGGCACCTTCAATATTTACCTTCACTTTTCTGGTCAAGCGTGATTCATGAAATGGAACTAAAGCTGAAAAATCATCTACTTCTTTGCGAATTTGAGACACTATTGGGATGGTCTTAAGCGCATACAACTAGACTCTAACTGCAGCTATGAGTTCAGACGAGAAGGGCATATCCCCTGCTCATAAAACCTCCACTCCAACCCATAGAAGTGCCTCCTCTTCAACATCCTCCCATAGGGACAGTCGGCAGGTAAGAGAATAGTACCAAGTGCATTTTGTTGTTTTCTGTAAATACAGTACCACTAGGATATGATGGGCTTGCTAATTAATTCTGAAATCTTGTTGTGAAGATTTTTATTCCACAGGAAAACTCACTGTTTTCTGTAGATCTACCTGATGATGCCATGAAGACTCTGCTCTTGTTTTTCTGTTATTTAGGATCCTTTTTTAGAGTGTAGATGACCAGGAGGGCTGGCTAGGGGAAGCCCTGCTTTCCTCCTCACTGTGTACCCAAAGAGGGGCAGCAATTTCAGGAACTTGAACTCTCTGCTCTCTCTCTTTATTCATAAAGAGGGAAAGGGTTGTGAGCCTGCAGAAGGTCTTCTTCCTACAAGTCTCTCCCTGGCCTGCCCAGCACTAACTTCTGTTGGGTGTTTCATGGAATGTGGTGACAGTCAGATTCGGGAATTAGGATACAAATAAAATCATAGTATCAGAGAATTAAGGGCAGTTTAAGAGCTCTGCTAATGCTTAGAGTCAGTAGAGAAAATGAATTATTTTTTCATTATCCCATGGAGCCAATTCTGTCCATTATTTTTGTTTACAGAGTTACTTCATTACTACCTCAGTGGCTGTTCTAGCTGCCAAGGCTGTGGGGGGAAGTTAGTCCTATGAATTTTCTTCACTGTCAAAACAGATTGTTGTTTTGCCCAGCACATGTCTGAGTATTGCTGTTGGCCATTATGATGTTATCTCGTGATAGGATTTTTTGTTGTGTAACTGGAAGTTCACAATAAGCAGGTCTACTTAACTATTTATAAAAATGTTCCTTTTGAGGGACATTTGCTTAGTAAATTATTCTTGCAGTGATTTTCCTCCCTATTTTATGTGTTCAAGATATATTGCCTAGTTTCCAGAAGTACGAACATCAGTTATTTTTCATAGTCCATAGTGTAGTCTTGGGTCTTGAGACAGCCAATCCAGATGTGAATTCATTCTTCTAGATGGTGGGAATGCACTGCTGGGGGTGTTCCCTTAGGGAGGCCTCAGTCTGCAGACCCTCCCAGCACTCCCTCTCCCATTTCTAGCAGGAGATTCCAGGGTTATCTGTAAGAATCAGAGAATCCTTACATGTATCTCTTTCCTACGTTCTAAGGAAGGTATTTCTGCTACCGGTACTTTGGACACTGGTGTCCTTTGTTCTAGAGTTCAAGCAGGACGTCTTCTGTTCATTAGAAGCAGTTATACCATTAACTCAATCTCTGATTACACACAGTTATAATGTTTATTGCATTGCATTCATATAGTAAAAGAAAGTGAAAGTACCATGAATGAAAACACATTTATATTAAGTAACAACTATATGCTGAGATGCTTTCTAAGTTTGCATTTCAGTTTATCCTTCACCTGCTTCTCTGTCCTTTCTGGTTATGGCTTCTTCCTTTTTCCTTTGCCCTGGGCATTTCAACTGAAAGATATTTTAAGCATCCTGGCCTTCCTGGCTGCTGAGGGAAGAATGGGATTGACCCGGGTCAGCCTGGAGAATTGTGGCAAATGGAAAAGACAGATGATGGCTGTGGAATCATCTGTCATGCACTCTGGGGCTACCCTGCAGAACAACGGGGAGAAACCGAGACCCCGGTCCACGGAGGGAGTCTGAAGGTAGACTAGGTGACTCCTGGCTGGCTGGTGAATGAAAAGTCTTGTGATGAGAATGAAGTAACGTGTCTGTAAATTGAGACAATGTTCAAATGGTCATTATTCTTTGAGGGTTTACTTTAGTTTCTGTTTATCTCAGTGGGTTCAAACTCTCCCAAATACTGTCTCCTCTGGTTCCTTCCTGCCTCCTATTTGGTTCCTTCCTGACTCCTGTCTGTTCATCTCCCTCAGGGGAGAGAATAAAGAACAATTAGAGTTCTGTTTTTCCCTCCCGATCTCCATCACTTCCTCACATCCAGTATTAACTTGTGGAAATCAGAAATTTTGAGTGATCCTGGGATCTCCTATGATGCGGTGGTTTTTATATGCACCTATTTTTGTGTGTGACTGTTTTTCTAGTGAAGGGATGTGGAGAAAGTGTGATAAATTAGTCTTCCTTGAATGTTACCGTTCTCCTGATTTGATGGGCATTGACGCAAATGGAGTCCATGCTATTTCTCATATATGGATCATATAAGTAAATGATCTGCACATAGCCGAGAATACATTGATACCTTAATGCACATTGTTTGCCTGTCCTTCCCAAGTTCTCGTTCCAGATCACTAACTAATTGATTGGGAATTTCTACTTAGATGTATCACTACATCTTAAATTTATACATATAAGCTCGTTTGCTCTCAGGATAATCATTCTCTCATGGACCCGGGGTCAAAGCCATTCCTTTCTCCTTTGCCTCTCCCACATTCAGTAGGTTGACAAATTTTGTTGATTATTTCCTCTTCATAATGTGACCACTTCTTTCTATTTCCACTGTCTACTCGCTAGCCCAGACTCCCATCACCCCAGCATCCTCCACGGTACTCTGGCCTCACTGTCTCCCTTATGGCCTTGTGAGATTGAATTTCCTTAATATGGCAGATTCATTCTCACAACCCTTCAAAGACTCTTGCTTGCTAACACAATGAAGGCCAGATTTCCTTCCGCAGTATCCCATGACCTCCATGATCTGATCCAGCCTCAGCATCCCAATTTCCTCCCACCCTGTACAGTCTTGTCTGTGCATTGTTCCTCAAACTGCCTTGTCCCTGTCTCTGCCCTTGTCTTTCCTACGTGGAATTGCCACCACACTTGCTCCACCTGATCCATCCCTGGGCTTCAAGGACTGACTCATGTGAACTTCCACTGACCACTCAACCCCATCTTGCTCTCTCCCTTCTCCGAACTTTCACAGAACTTTTTGACAATGTTCGGCATGTTTATCTTTTTTACCTTTTTTTTTTTTTTTAAGATTTTATTTATTTATTTGTCAGAATGAGGGAAAGAGAGATAGTGAGCACAAGCAGGGGGAGTGGCAGGCAGAGGGAGAAGCAGGTTCCCTGCTGCTCAAGGAACCCCATGTGAGACTCGATCCCAGGACCCCGGGGTCATGACCTGAGCCGAAGGGCAGATGCTTAACCAACTGAGCCACCCAGACATCCCTATATTGTGTATCTTTTTATGTATTGATCTCCTCAACTGTTTTGTAAGCTCTTTTAAGCAGATGACACACTCTAATTCTTCAGGGACAAGCCTTGCACCTCAAATATTTTGATATATCTTAGAGGATATTTTTAAAGACCTGCAATGGTATTAGTCTTGTCTTCTTATCACAAACTTGCCACTCTCCTCTCTCTTCTTCCTTCTTCATAGATTAAGTAAAACAAAGAGTATCTGCCAAGCGCATGGTGGTAGTAATTGGCCGTCCTTCATGCAGCCAAATTCTTTTTTTTTTTTTTAAAGATTTTATTTATTTATTTGAGACAGAGAGAATGAGAGAGAGAGCACATGAGGGGGGGAGGGGCAGAGGGAGAAGCAGACTCCCTGCCGAGCAGGGAGCCCGATGTGGGACTCGATCCAGGGACTCCGGGATCATGACCTGAGCCGAAGGCAGTCGCTTAACCAACTGAGCCACCCAGGTGCCCCGTGTAGCCAAATTCTATAGCACAACAGGTGAAGGAGGGAGAGGAGCTAGGAAGTGAAGTGATTCAGTGCCCCCGTGATTTCACTAAGTGTTTCTTCATCAGCACAAGAGGGTCAAGACTCCACTTAGTATTTAACAAGTTAGAAGGCTTCAGTAATTGCTCCATTAAGTTTCATTCCAGACTGATATTCAATGTTAGAACATCTAACAAAATTAGCTCTGTGTGTGTATGTTTGTGAGAAAGAGAGAGAGACAGACACAGAAACAGAGAGTTCAACTATGATTCACAAGTTGCAAGAAATATATGCCCTAAATTTTTCAAAAAGGAAATAAAGAGGTTGATTAAGACATCTAGGACTTATACATAAATCAGCATTTCCAGATGTGTGTGCCAAAGAATGTTTTCCCCTTGAGATGTTGCATGAAAAGAGAGTTTTATTGTCAAGTAAGAGAAATGCTAAACACAATCTCTTTTTGCAATATACATTAATAAATTAAGGACACTGATAAATCCTGCAGTTAGAACTTTAACTGAGTACTTCTAGAATCTAATAGATTGTGGAACTTTTTTATTCTCCTAAGATTTGGTTGTTAAATATCCACATTCTTCTTTCTGTTAAGAGATTGAAAGATCTGGGCGTTCAGTCGGTTAAGCATCTGCCTTTGGCTCAAGTCATGTTCCTTGGTCCTGGGATTGAGCCCCACATCGGGCTCCCTGCTCGGCGGGAAACCTGCTTCTCCCTCTCCCTGCCGCTCCCCCTGCTTGTGCTTTCTCTCTCTCTCTCTCTCTCTCTCCCCCTCTCTTGTTCTGTCAAATAAATAAATAAAATATTTAAAAAAAAAAGAAATTGGAAGATCTAGGAACACTGGAACCCAGATTCTGAATGGGCAACACTAGACAGGGCTTAGGAGCAGCTTCCCCTTTAGATGGGGCATGTACCCTCTGATTGGCCACAGTCCCTACCTTTCCTTATTGTACTTCAACACTTATGTTTCCTGCTTGGCCCCAGAAAACATTTGAATTGCCAGCCCTGATCCCAAATGTCAAATCAACCGCAGTAATACTGAGATTACCAAGGGTGATCTCCACTTGGACGTTAAGAAGGCATCTCAAACTTAGCATGAACTGAAACTCTTACTTTCAAAACTGAACTCTTACTTTCCCTCTCAAATCTACTCCTTCCCAGCCCTCCTTATGTCAGTAAGCAGCAAGGCTGTCATTTCTTTTGGTACAGCCAGAAACTTCACCAGGAGTCATCTTGCGACACATCTTCTTCTCACACCTGCTTCCAAACCCTCAGTGAATCCTATTGGTTCTACCTTCTGATGTCCCTGGGGTCTGAGCACTGCTTACCACCTCCTCCCCCTCCAGCCTGCTCTGAGCTACCATCACGTCTCACCCGGACGATGG